GTGGAATCGAGTAGTGCGGTTGAGTAATTAATGAGAGATTTTAAGGCGTGGGTTAAAAAAGTGTTAGGATAACTTAGATTAATATCATGCCAATAATGGTAAAAAGGGCAAACCATTCACAGTGAAACGAGGGAAATTATAAGACCAATAGGCACCTTGTGTTGGTTTACGCCTTGGGTTTACGCATCCGCTGGGAGTTGAAGTAGTATAGACAACATTTTTAGGGCAACTAGTAGCAGATAACCAAGCACCGGGCTGTGGTGGGGGGCCCCTCCTGGCCACGGAGGCGGTGGAGGGGCCACGCGCAAACAAGTCGTGCGCTTACAATATGTCTATTTGCTTATGACACTTCTATCACCATTTCAAATCCCAGTATGCAGGCCTTAGAACAGACCTTATTTCTTGAATCCAACTGCCTGGTTCAGTGGTGTGAGGATGAGGATAATCAACTAATCTTGAATGCCAAAAAACCACACTCCTTCAATTTAGCATTTCTCAGCATCGCACATCCACTGACACTGACATACACGTTCTTCTTGATGATACCACTATTTGCCTCTCACCAGATGTAAAGTTCCTTGGTTTAATTCTTGACGAGAACCTCAAATTTCACAAGCATATCGATCACGTTTCAAACAAGATATCCGTAGGGATTTTCATGCTCTGCACACTTAAACATACGGTTTCGTCTGAGGTCCTCTTGACAGCCTAATATGGACTTGTTTATCCTTATCTGACATATGCTGTACCTGTCTGGGGGTGTGAAAGCCAAAGGACTCAGTTCATATTCAAGCTTCAAAAAAAAGCTCTCCAAACTGTTTTTTCCCTTCACCGTCGTCAATCAAGCAAAGATGTCTTCAGATCACATAAAGTTCTAACTTTCCCCTCCATTTACGTTTTAGAAACATTATCATTTATCAAGAAAAACCAATCATCATATAGACTCCAAGTATCCATAGTAATCCTCTCCGCAACAATTTCAATCTTTCAGTAGGCCTACCACGACACTCAACCACTTTCTTTTAGAAAACTTCCACTTCAATGCAGTAAAACGTTTTAATGACCTCCCTCTCCCTTTGAAAGCCGAACAGGACATCGGAAAATTCAGGAAATGTATTAAGTCCATGTTGAGTCCATGTTGATAAATAAGGTCTGCTACAGCGTCCGGGAATTTGCTGGTAGTCTTTAACTTTATTAAACATCACAAGGGGTTGTGTGTCACAACCCAAAAACAATTTGTATATAATGTATTTAGTAGTTAGTTAATTTCATAATAAATGTATTGTTAATCTGGCTTAATAAAGGACTTTGACTATGACTTTAACTAGTGTGCAAGATGGCAACAAACAAGCGGTTGATTGAGTTTGTACTCAAATTATCTGTGCTGTACAGTTTCAACCTTGAGGATGCAAATTGTTATGATTGGACTACCTATTGGCTTATATTAGCTTTAAAATTAACCCTCAAGTGTCCATAGTTTAGGCCTTAATGTCCACCTATTTTTGGCGCATTTGCAAGGTTTTATTAAAACGGATCTGAGAAGCTTAAAACAATGTTAATTCTAATGTTCTATATACCATTTTGTTTGGAAAATCATGGGCTTCAATATTATATATAAAACATAAGGAACATTTTTTCAAAAAAAAAAAAATTGTTAGGTAAAAAAAATATAATTTCAAAAATTTTCAAAAAAAAAAATAAGTTCGCGCTCAATGAAATTGTATAAATTATAGGTCTATAAATATTTGAAAATAGCCACTTTGTTCTAAATTTTATGAGGATTACAAATATATAATAATATAAGGAAGTAGATTTGCAAATAAATAAGTTATGGGCAAAAAACTGATTTCAGTACATAGCGTTTAGCTAAGAATGCATAGCCTAACCATAGCTAGGAATCTGGCTGATAATTTACATCAATATCACTACCTACTTCTTCAGGATCATCAACCAGCACTTCAAAACCACTTAAATCTTCTTATAATGCACCACGTATATCACTACTTTTGATTTTTAACACTAAAACAATGATAAACGTAATAAAACACATCAGTCATCGGTCCGGGGGAACCTAGCTGTTTACAAATACACGCACGTCAGCTGTCTGCTACAATATTTTCGGAACTAAAATGAATAGCGCTTAGACACAGACCTCTGGAGAAAGCTTAGAATATTACGGAAAGAACGATACCTAACTCGATCCAGTTCAATCCGATTCAGTCAGTCATAGAGCCTTCGCCGTAAACGATGTCTGCGTGTCGAAAAATCGACAAGTAACACTACACAAAGTGTGCTGCTTGTCGAATTTTCGTCAAGTAACACTGGGAGGGTTAAAAAAAAAATATATATTTTTCCCATTTTTTGACCTTACATTAAGTTTTGCAATTTTCCTAAAACCAATTTTAGAGCTTAAATACTAACGCTGACTAAGTTGGCACCACCTCTGTTGCCACAGGGCTCGCACCTACGATAGTCGGCGTACATATGATCTGAAATACATTAGGTTACTGAAAGTGTAGCCATTAACGAAGGTAGTTGTTATTGTGAGCACCACACCTGTTTAGATCTCTACCTTTTTCACGTATGTACCGCGCGCATGAGTTTAGAATATGGTTAATTTAGAATTTAAACACCATAGGAACTTAGCCACAGGAGACCGTATGCCCTTATCATTCAGCATTCAACGTGTTAACCCAAAGAGAATACAGAAGGTTTAAATAGTAAGGTTCTTTATTACGGAGGAAAAAAATGAAAATTTAAAGCTCATATTTTATTTATACGGAGAAAAATTAACTACAGTTGTTAGCTTGTTTATGGATATATATTGATTAAATTTGGCAATATTATGCTATTTATTTCACAATTAGCTATTAAAATTTCATTTGAAAATATGTTAAACTTTATTAAGTTATAATCATTTAAATAGGGAAAATAATCAATTTCCATATCGAACTCAGATTATTTGTATACAAGAGGTTAAGTTACCCTTATTCTGTCCAAGTAATCTTTTAAGTCATCATTAGGGCGACTGGTTTCGATGCCTGTGTAGCATCATTGTCAAGCTGAACGAAAAATCAATCCTAGGAGATAGTCATGAGTCTTAAAAAACACGCAACACATATACAAGTAATACATTTTATGTTCAGCTTGACAATGATGCCATAGGCATCGAAACCGGTCGCCCTAATGATGACTTATAGGATTACTTGGACAGAATAAAGGTATTCTGTAAGTTGTATACAACTTAACCTCTTGTATACAATTTGTAAACTCACCTCACAATATTAATTTAGGCTAGGCCTATTCTATAAATGTTGGGGTTGAAATTAAAATGAAATAAAAGATAAATTTGAATAATAACTTAAAGGTTCAAATAATTTAGATGTGATATATCTCAGGGGAGGGTGTCGTGCTGGCTTGAATGCTAAGAATTAATAAATTTAATAGTGTCCAAATAGGCCTAATTAAGGTGTAAATCCCAACAATGAAAAATCTAATTTTGATGTTGTCCAAAAGGTAAGTCCAATTAGCACTGAATTTAAAAGAGTTTAAAAGAAAGTTTATACTTAATTTTTAAGATAACAATGATGGAGTTGAGTCCTCTTGAGGTTTAGGCTACTGTGATATAACTTGATATAAACTGGTTTTCTTGATGATATTAATGAATTTGATTTAGATAAAATTTGGACTCCTTCTTCTAACTAACAGTTTCAACTTCTCAATGGCTTCCTTCTCTTCCAATCTCACTGTTATGTTTTTAGGTTTTCTTTAATAAAAACACAGTTAAACATTTTAAGTTTAGATTTATTAACATCAAAACCACTTGGATATATATAACACTCACTGTTCACATCATTTATTGTTGAACACATGGGATCACTTTCACTGCTTATTAAATTTTGATTCCTTAAGGACTAATTTTGAAATGATATTATAAGAAATTTCGATGTATTGCAATTCCCTTACATATTTAATAAATAATTAAGTTGTGGGCTTTGTAAAAAAAATCAAATATATATAGGCTATGGAATGAATATTATTAATGATTATTGAACATATTAATGAAATTATATAAATTAGGAAAATGAATATTAGGCCAGCCTTTCTGAGGAGTGATTATTAACAAAGGTGTATGAACAAAAGTTAACATTTTAAGAAACTTAATACTAAATAATGAATGAAATGACATGAAATATTACAAATTTGTGAAATAATCGAAGGCAATACGCAAAAATCAGAGTAGATTGCTACTACCCTCGATCTTGGTGACTGCGTGGTGCATGTGTTACGCCCCAACATTCGCTAGTCATTCGTATGCTGTGTGGCTTGCGCTGCGAAACTTGGCTTGTGTGGGTTGTGTTACATGTGTCTCAGCATAGGCCCGGCCTAAGTGGTTTCTTTCTTGTTTTGACATTGCATACAAATAGCTGTTAGTATTATTTAGATGCAATATTTTTTACTCTACCAACACAATAATAAAGTCATATATTTGTGAGTCGGTGGCTCAGTCGGTAGCGTCGCGGACTTCGGGCCCGAGGCAGTAGTGTCATGGGTTCGGATCCTGGTCACTGCCACAAACTTTTATCAGTACAGTTCACCTTTGTACTGTACCGGCTCACCCCTTGCTTTGCTGGATACGTTCCACGCACAGATCTGTAGTCTATGTGGACGGGCAAATGCAAGGTTAAAAGAGGCCGCCAACCTCTTTAAAAAAAAATATATATTAATGGAATTCTTATTGAAACATACAATAACATAATGATAAACACAAATAAATTTTTACAACAGTACAATAGTAGGTATATTTGTAAGTCAGGACTATTTTCTTCTTCAACAGGTATTAAATTATAAAAATATACAGCTTATGTCCTCGACTCTTATGTGATTTTTTCACTCTATGAAGTAAAAGAACTCCTAAAATCCACTCCAACAAGGAACCTATTAAAACAGCCGTTTTTGCTGCAGTAAGAAGAAAAAAGTGTTTGATGTCAAATACAAACCTTGGGAACAGAAAAAACTAGTGATGGATTATTCTTCTCAGGGGAAATTGTAACTGGCAGCTCACTCGTCACCTGGAAATATAAACATTTCAGTGGATTTCTATGATATTAAATTAGTCATGGTAACACAGTAAATCTATTTGAAGGGAACTCACAGATAATTTTTGTAGCAATGATCTACAGTATTGAACAAAATCAAAATATAGCATACTGTAATTCGACCAGTATTAACATAATATGGAGCTGAAACTTGGATTTTGAACAAAAAAGAAGAGCACAAAATAATTGTTTTTGAAAACAAAACTTTAAGAATGACATATGGCCCAATACAAAAAAAGGAGAACGAAGAAAAAGGCATAATAGGGAGATAAGGAATATGTATAATATGATTATGATGTAGTAGCACACATGTAGTGAAAGCAAGGAGAATACGACGGTGGGCAGGACCAAGGCCCCAATACAAAAACAGGTCATGCTGCAGTGCGGGCAGCGCAACACTACGTCACAGAGGTGGATGGTTTTACTTTAGTTACCAGACATCAACAGACAGCTTTTTACCTAAAACATATGGGATATGGCAGTGAATCTATCCACAAGTGTGATGTCATGAATCTTGCGGCATGGCCTGTTTTTCTAGTGGGGCCTTGGCAGGACATGCACTACGGAGAGAACGGGGTTCACTATTAAAAGGAGCAAGCATAGGAAAGCCAGAATGGACAACCATTAAGAAATACCCAGGAAGAGATGGTGGGGTAGTGTATCCAAGGATGTCAGATAAGTGGGGGCAACAGTGGAAGTAGTGCATCAAACCTGCAGACTAAGCCAATTCCCATCTGCCTGATTTGATTTTTACTTAAAAATACATTAAACCTGTCATTTAAATGGGGAAAATAATCAATTCCCATATCAGACTTAGAGTATACTATTGTTGATCTTGGCAACAAATTTCCTTAAACGTTAAGATTTATTCCATATTTGAATAGGTTAAATTAAGTTTACCAAGTAACTTACCTAAGTTTACTGCTACTGGGAGGGTACCAAATAAAGTGTGCTTTTGAGTAAAATGTTAATAGCTTAGTCAAGTTTAATCAAGTTTAATCAATGGCGTAACAGAAGGGCCCGCAGTGCGGGGGGGCCCGGGAGCTGAGGGGGCCCGCGAGCCGGTGAGCGGGAAACGGCGAGCAGAGAGACCCGTGAGACGAGTGGGTCCGAAAAATTTGGGTTCATTATTCGAATGTATTACCATAGATAAAACATAGTTACTTAGTAGATTTCCCATCCTTGTGGAACAGCTGAAGCCAAATTTATTGTTAGTTCTGTCCGGTTTTCTTTAGATGTCGTGTTTTGTTTACAATTTGTCTCTATTATTTTAGGGTTAGTTTCTCATTATTTGTGTCTCACTGTTTGGTTATATAGATAGTGGACGAGTTATTGCTTATTATGATTAGATAATTTTATTTGGTTAAATGAGGTTTTAAATTAATGAAATAATAACAAGAAACAATTTGTAAACAAAACACGACATCTACAGAAAACCGGTCAGAACTAACGATAAAATTGGCTTCAACTGTTCCATAAGGGTGGGAAATTTACCAAGGGAGTATGTCTATGGTATTACCTATCAATCATTCAATAATTGTATTGAACAATACAGAAATACAATACCAATACAGAAATCTGATTACACCACGCACTACACACTTTGCTACATGTCAAGTATTTTGCCTGTCTATAATAATTTAGTCCAATGCACCTGAAGTGTTTTATACAGAAATGTTGGGGGTTCAATTTGGGGGGGGGGGTTGAATTTAGTATACCTTTCGTAAGTATTCCTTGGTTATGACCAAGAAGTATTAACTATGAAAGATTTTTCAATTCCTAAGCACAACGAAAGTGGTTTAAGATCTAAGGAGTGTTGTGGGGAGTGGTTGAATTATTTTTTAAAGGGGGGTGGGTTAATATTTGATAATGAGAATTTCTTAAATATTTAGGTTATTAGTATGCCATGCTGTCAGATGTCAAGTAGATTGTGCTTTTGGCATTTGGGGACATCCTAACAAAACAGTAAATCAGTCCCGGGTCCAGGTTTTACCATGAGACCTACGGTAATATCTTATTCCCTATATGGGAAATTGACTTAAAAAAGGAATTCAGGGATTAGATTACATTGTTTCTCAGGTTTTCGGCTGTCAAATTTTACTTCCTGTCTAGTTGCTGCACATAACAAACTTCTTAATTTGATTCTCACTTCAACTATTGTCAAGTCTGTTCAGTCCCGGTAAACTCACGTTATTGGTGGTGTTGAGCATCAAGGTGGCTGTGATAGTGCCGGATACTGGCAGGTCTACGTCCAGATACAATGTCACTGACACTTTCCAGTCCACCTTCTCTGGTTTGGTCTCCACCACCACATGTCTGGCATTGGCTGCATTGTACCCTCTCAACACTACATCTTTCCTGTTCAGTGTATTTATTAGTTATTACTTACCTAAAACCTCTATAGCTATAACATTTTCAAAAATTAACTATGTTGAAAACTGAGATTTTGTTATATTACTTAACAACTTAACAGCTAGGCAAGCAAAAAGAGTTTGCTGACAAAATTCTTAACAAATAATTGAAATGATTTTTCTTACTAAATCTGCAAAAAGTATTTAAGAAAACTTAATGTTTTTATCAGAGGCGGCGTTTAGGGGGGGCCAGGAGGGGCCATTAATATTCCCCACTTTCCTAGGGAATATTTATTAAACTATAACATAGGCCTATTTTTTTAAATATGGAACCTTTCCTGGCTTCTTCTATGAAGAAAACAGCTTGTGACTCTCGTATCAAAGAAGCATGCTCTGCTGTGAGTGACACTTTAGCCTCTGAAATTGATGTGTTTTCCAGAAAAAACCCTAAATCAGACCAACCGAATGAGCTTGTGTCAAATTTGGTACGACAATTTAAGTACAAAACGTTCACAATCAATTAATTTTTCCTAATCTCTTTTAGCATCTGCAATTGTTTTTGACTGTCTCAGTGTCTACTGCAACCGCTGAACGGACTTTCAGTGTCTTAAAACGGACCAAAACTATTTAAGGAACTCAAAGCTCCAACACCGTTTATCAAATTTAGCCATACTGGCTATAGAAAAAGAGACCCCCAACAACATAAAACTTGAAGAATGTGTTGAAGTATTTGCTAGGCCGGCTAGGCGTAAACCTAGACATTTAACACTTTACTAAAGTAGGTTAAGAATGTGGCTGGAAAACAAATCACTACCGGTATCATGTATACGTCTATTAGTCATGCCAATATTACCACAAAGTTTCACTTTTTATCTTTTGTAACAGTTTTATTTACTTTGTCTATAATAAACTACTTTTGTGGCAATCAGACTTTCAGTCTTCTTTAATTTTCCGAAGTAGACCTATACTATTTAAGGTCTTGTTTTTTTTTCTAAACAATGACTAGATTATGATGTGAAATTAATGGACTTTATATAGTACCCCTGATTCACTAGCCTATAGCTTACAGATAGTTTCATACAGGCCACTACAACCATTGAGTATTAGCATTGACTATTGGATACATACAGTTGTATTAATCAAAGGTATGTCAAAGGTATTAGTGTATACTCAATGCTACTACTTACTGATGTCTCAAAAGCTAAGTTATGTTTTAAGACTATTTTATTGAGGGCCTTACCTAGTTTTATTAAAGATTAAACATATGAGCTAAGATTTGAAAAAGGGGGTAGGTAGGACCAGGGGTGCCCACAGGGGGGTTTGATGTCGCAAAATGCGACATCAGAAATTTATTTGGGGGGATTTTATGATTTTGGGGGGATTCAAGCTAGTGGTTGGTTAAAAGCACATAAAAGATTAATCAGATAATTTTTACGACCCCCTTAATTTATTACTGGGGTAATTATGCAATCAAAATCCCGTTTGACATTTTATCTTGATTAATAAATCATTTTATAATTGCTATAAAATATATAGATACTTTTATGTGGATTTCCACTTTCTGACTCGTATCATGTTTGACATGATGTTATAATATATTCTTGATTCATAAAAAACCAGTATTATGATAATGATAATCATTTTGCTATTTTTACAACATGAACAACAACATGAAAGCTTGTGATAATATTTTGGCTCGGGCCCAAATAATTATGCCTGGGTCATTTATTCATTGGAAGAAATTGACATACAGTACTGTGACAATTTAATTTTTAAGGTTTTTGATAGGCTATGTGTTTACGTTAACTTCAAGAACTGAAACACATGATTCTGGACTAATTAAATTGTATTTGTTATTGTCTTTTCATGAATCTAGAAAGAGCTTCAAACAAATTGTACTAGTCTTAGAATATATATATATAATTATTTTTTTACGCCACACTACACTATTTTGAAGAACTTCCCATGCAAGGATTTAGTCCAGAAAACAGCTGTTTGTCCTTAATCAAATGGGGTTTCATACAGTACTACTGTACTGTAATGAGTTTTGCCGGACACCAATCAGCTGATTATACTGTATTTGGGTGGCAATGAGTGGTTATAGACTAGTGATTTTTAGTCCTTTAGTTGGTGGTAATATAGGGATTTGAACGGATTTAGTAGTATGGCGTTAACTATCGTACGCCACTCGTCCAAAATGTGTTGGCCGGACTCGTATAAAAAAAAAACCACTAGGCCCTACTCGACTTCGTCTCGCACGGGATTCAGGACTAGTAACGTAATATACTATTTTACCACACTATGATGTTTTTAGCTGTTTTACATATAGGTACATTAATTGGTGGCTGAAAGTTACGTTTTGCAGGCCATGCCAGCTGCCATCGTCATTCGGGGATCGAGCAGGTTTTTACATCCCTAGGGCCGCAAAATCAGCTGCCCGCTATCAGTATCCATAGCATTGCAATAGAGTTGTTTTATTGTCACCGCTGCCTAGCAACTATTTATTATTATTTTTGCTGATTCCTCAAATTATTTATCCACATGACCTTAAAGTTGTAGTTGTGTTGACTATATCTGATGAAATGAGGGAATAAAATACATAAAATACTTTATTAATAATTGATGTAAAAAGGAAAGATATTAAAACATTAACACTTCAAACTGTGAACATATTAGAACAACAAAATAATCACAAGCAGCTGATATAAAAAGATACATTAAAAAGATATTTGATTATATAGCATTAAGCAAAGCAATACTATATAAAATCCTCAACATTCCCCCTTAATCAAACATCTTTTTTTTTATTTAATCTGAGTCTTTAAGTCCCAAGTCCGTCACAAAGTGATTACATTTTTCACGTGACAAAGGTTTGGTTAAAATATCAGCCGTCATATTTTCAGTTGGCAAATACTTAATTTCAATTAACTTCTTTTGTACAGCTTCTCTTATGAAGTGATGTCTAACATCAATATGCTTCGTGCGATTATGAGCTTGAGTGTTTTGAATAAACTTCTGAGCACTTTGATTGTCATTATACAGTACAACAGTGTAGAGCATGTCACTTATGTCACTTAAGAAGTTTTTCATAAAACACACCTCTTTAGTTACATCACTCATTGCTAAATATTCCGCTTCCGTACTGGATAAAGCAACAGTACGTTGTTTCCTTGATTCCCAAGAAACTGCACATCCTCCAGCTTTCAAGACAAAACCAGTTGTCGATCTTCTATCAATTGTGTTTCCAGCCCAATCTGCGTCAACATATGCTTCCAAATTGAAGTTATTGGTAGATTTGAATGTAAGTGCATATTTTCTAGTCCCAACTAGATATCTCAGTACTCGCTTTGCTGCAATCCAATGACTTTTATCATGACATGTGTTGAACTGACTTAAATAGTTTGTAGCATACGATATATCAGGCCTTGTACACACTGAAAGATATAGAAGTCCACCAATCAGCTGTTGATAAGGATAATTGGATTTCTCTTCATTAGAAACCTTTTCAAGCTTCAAGTTAACTGCCATTGGTGTAGATGCAGGTTTTGCTTCTGTCATGTTAAAACGCTGCAAAAGATTTGTCACATAGCTACTTTGTGAGAGTGATATGGTTCTCTCTTTACGGTTTTGAGTCACTTTCATACCTAGACAGTTGGTAACAGGTCCTAGAACTTTAGTTTCAAAAGTTTTTTGAAGAGCTGTTATTAGATTTCGTTTTTCAACTTTATCATTAGTGAAAATAAAAAAATCATCCACATACAAAGCTAGAATTGTTAAACCACTTTTCTGTTTCTTCATGTAAACACACTGTTCACATTTAGATTGTTTGTAGTTTAACTTCGTCAAAAATTCATGAACAGTTTTATTCCAAGATCTACTTGCCTGTTTCAGTCCATAAATACTCTTTTTTAAGAGACAAACTTTATTTTCTCCCTTTTCAAAACCAGTAGGTTGTTCCATGTAGATAGTTTCTTCTAAAGAACCATTCAAAAATGCTGTAGTTATATCAATATGATCAATATCCATGTTAAGTTCATTTCCAATAGAAAACAATAATCTAATCGTTGAATACCGCACAACAGGAGAGAAAGTCTCTGTAAAATCAACACCATATTCTTGGCTAAAACCTTTGGCAACAAGGCGTGCTTTGAACTTCTCAAGATCACCATCAGCATTTTTCTTAACTTTATAAACCCACTTGCATTTAACCACATTTTCAGTCTTAGGACGATCAACCAACTCCCAAACATTGTTCTTAATCAGAGAATTATACTCTTCATCCATGGCATTCATCCATTCTTCTTTGAAATTACTTTTAATTGCCTCATTGAAATTTTGCGGTTCATCAAAAACATCGACAGCTTGATATGAAACGAAATCGTTCATCCATAATGGTTTTCTGCAATCACGTTCAGGTCTTTTATCATCAATCAAAGAATTCCCTTCTTCCAAAACTAGCTGTTCATTTTCATCATGTGAATTGTCTAGATAAGAATTTTCATTTTCTGAAACTTCCTGTTCACTTTCACTGTTAGAATGAACAAGATTTTCTTCGTTGTCAACAGATGTTATATCATTGTTTGGTTCCTCCACAAGTTCAGTTGTGCTACTGTTTATAACAGTGTATTCAACTTGTCGACTTTCATTTTTCAGGTCATCTTTCACATCAGAGGAATGACATTGGTCTTCTACAAAAATTACATCACATGCTTTTATAATAGAATAAGGTTTCTTAGGATCAATTAGTCTGTAGCCTTTGGAATGTTCACAATACCCAACCATAATACAAGGCTTTGCTTTTGTGTCAAGTTTCTTTCCGTAACATTTGGGAATATGAACATAAGCTTTACAGCCAAAAACCCGTAAGTGACTTAGATCAACCTTTGAACCAGTCCAAACTTCCTCTGGTGTTGCATTCTTTAAAGCTGCTGTAGGACTACGATTCTTCAAATAGATAGCTGTGTTTATAGCTTCTCCCCAATATCGTTTTCCTAAACCTGAATCTTG